TTGTTACCTAAGAAATTTCTTATTAAAACAGATAATACGCAGGTAAAACCATTATTGACAAGCAAACTTGGAACAAGTGTAGTTGAAATGCAACTTATTAGAATGCAAATGTAATTTGCACCATTTAAATTTGATATTGTCCATATTAAAGGAAAAGAAGATTTTATTCCAGATTTTTTAATCAGAATGGAGCAAATAAAGAATGAACTAGAGGAATTGAAGTTCGAAATGTATGTAAAGATTGTTGCCATGGAATCCAAGTTAACATTAATGAAAATGGCTGATGCTAAGCCAATATCTGAGAAAGCCAAGAGGCTATACTATCTGAAAGCCCTAGTGTCAGTATATCTGAAGGCTCCAAAGCCAATATCGAACAAGAAGCATTCAAGCTTCATAAGTCATCGATAAAAGAGAATACTACTTTATCTCCTTCACAGGAGAATAAATTTATAAAGAACAGTATCTCTATATAAGAGCTTGATCGCTCAAATATCATCAAAGTCTGTAATGCCTCTGGTGTTATGGATATCAAAAATAAAAACGATTTTATTTTTGCATATGTATTGTTCAATCTAGTCTGTTGCGATTTACCAGTATTGGAGGATAGATGAAAATTTTGACATATGGAACTTATAACAAAGTTAATATTTATCCAGGAGCTCCAGCATACTGGTTCGCGCTCTATATGAAATGGAAAATATACTATGCATTTATCCATCAGAATCTTTGAAAAAAATTTATATGCTACCGAATGATGTAATTCGAGCCACAGAGCGATATTGTCAAGTTCTTAAATATAAGAACATATATATCAGACTTTTCTCTGCAAGTCCTGAATGAGATTATGAAGAAGATAAACTGCTTCCAGCAAGCCATGTTATCAGAATGGCCAGTACTTCTAAGCAGTTTCAGCCTGAAAAGAGTGAAGTCTATGATACTACCCAGAAGACATCAATAATTTGATGGTCTTTCGTAGAGCTAAAGGATATAAGGAGTAGTTTGAGCATATTCAGAAAATTATTGAAGAAAAACAAAATATTTGGGTGAATGATTCACATGATCACTTAATTTACAGTAAAGCTGCAACACCCATCAAACAAGAAGATTGACACTATCTTGATACATGGTGCGATCATATTTTTGAAGGACAAGCCAGTGCTACACAGAAAACGAAAAATAAGATGTGTAAACAATTTTGGCGGTATCCGAATCATAAGTGGGAATGCTGTTGCACTGACGGCGACATCTCACCAATTTCCTTGGATCTATCAGAATTTCCGGAGGAATGATTTGAGTTACATATGGAAAAATAAAAGAAAGAGACCCATTTATCACTACTTTATCAAAAACATTTTTGATAAAGAAAAACTATAAGTTTATCTCAATTATTTTCCATAATAAGACGAAGAACTTTAGGCCACAGTAAGATTCTCACTATCTTACACAGTAACACAACAATAATGAAGGACAGCTGTTGAGCTTTTCCAGTCTATTAATAAGAGACTAATTCTTAGAAGAAGGCACTCAAGCCTGAAGCCAAAAATTTATCTCTCTACCTTATATTTCAAATCTTGTAACATTTTCAGTTTTTGTCCTTGAAGTGAAGCTTGTAATAAGGTAATCTCAATGGAGTTCTAATTTCCTTAGAGAAAGTAACATGAGTGTAGCAGAAATATGTATGTATACTCTTATATAA